TCAAAAATAGCTTTTACAAAGTAAGTTTAGTAACAGGTGAATTTTTACTATTAAACTTAGTAAAATAACTCTGCGGTTTCGGTTTTACTAAGAAAACTTAGTAATAACCGCCATCGCAGCTTCGGTTTTACTAAGTAATAACTGCCATCTTAGCTTCGTAACAAATTTTTTAGTAAAAAAACGTTTCTGAAGCCACGGACGTGTTTTTTTACTAGGTTTCTTAGTAAAAAAACATTTCTGAAGCTGCGGACGCATTTTTTTACTAGGTTTTTTAGTAAAAAAACGTTTCTGAAGCAGCGGACGCATTTTTTACTAGGTTTTTTAGTAAAAAAACGTTTCTGAAGTTGCGGACGCGTTTTTTTACTAGGTTTTTAGTAAAAAAACATTTCCGAAGCTGCAGACGCGTATTTTTACTAGGTTTCTTAGTAAAAAACGTCTTCGAAGCCACAAAGGCGTTTTTTACTATATTTTTCTTGCAAATGTTCTGTACTCCGAAATGTTCGTACCTGAAAAATAATAAATAAAGAGTATAATTATATAAAAAAATTAATTTTCTATAAAAAATTCGAATATAAACTCGAGATCTATTAATTTCGATTAATCGATTATATAACTAGGTAGATGTTTTTTATCTAAACACTCTTCTAATGACTTCAAGTCATTAATGTAATAAAACTTTTCTAGGTACTGTAAAACTTCCTCTTCGCAATCTACTAAAAATTTGTTAATACATTTCCCTTCTGAAAAATGCACTGCATCATCAGCATTTTGCACTTGATCTGCTATATATTTCTTGAACCCTTGAGGCAAATATTTGAGACATTCGGCATTGTGAATATCAATGACACCAATCGATAAAGGACTTTTTGAGATTTGACTTTTTTTCGTAGTTTTCATAGTTGAGCGTGCAAATGTCATAACGTCAACATCCCCATATATTAGTTTGTGATCCAGAAGAACGTGCATTTGAAATGTTTTCAAAACTTCATCTGCTAGATCAAGGTTAATATATTTTCTTTCTCCTTTGGCTGCATCAAAAGGTTTTCTATTCGTTAATTTTATATTAGCACTAGTTAGATCGGTGTTATTGTCATCCAAATCACATGCAGGTTGCTTAGTCCCTGGCGAGTCTTGTGGTTAGGGTTCCGCAATTCGATTTGACATTTGAATATTTGATTTGAAAATCAAATCAAATACAAATTCAAATTTAT